TAGGGTATTCTATTGTTTTTTATAGCCAAACTACAATACCTCTGTAGACATTTGTGGTAGATGAATACTAATTAGAACAGTTTGCAGCCTAGAAACAGCTTAAAAGGAAAGACGCAATTTGGACACAATCACACTAGTAAATAAGCAGTATCCGTCTATATTCTGTGTGATTTTCAGAGCGTTCTGTGTCTTGCATAACATGAAAAAAACTGTATATTGATTTCCGTATATGCCGGAAACATCTATGAAAAACCACAAGTTACATATATAGAAATAAAATCGTAATATTTTGATTTATTTGCTGTAAAATCAACCAACTTTTAGTAGTAATGAATTATTCATGTATTTAAGTGAGGACGTAAAGCAACCAATCGCGTCATGCCTGAGTTTCACCTTCATATATTGCATAGGCAAACTGCAAACAGTATGTTTTATGCATATGTATCTAATTCTTGTTTGTAGTTGACTTATTTAAGCAGTCTGGCACCGGGAATGAGAGGTGGACTGACACAAGAACAGCAGCTATCATACTGGGCTTGGGAGATGGTGTTGAAACTGAGACTACATAAACTAGAACAACCACATTTACCCATGGAAACACACGACTATGGTAGCCATGAGTGGAGTAAAGATATACCAGACATGACCTCTGACCCTAATCTTCATCCAATCCAAAAAGGAGTGAAGGCCCTGGGACCATTGGCTTGTTATGTTGCTATCACTATGACTAAAGTTGGTCACAGGTGAGCTACAATTTTTAAAATTGGGTCACCACTGGTTTTGTGAAAAATTCGAAATACAACAATTTTTTATTCTCCAAAATTTGAAGTAAAAAACAGCAGAAATGAAAAAAAAGTGTATCGCTAAATCAGACCAAAGAAAATCTTTCTTTTTTCATCCTTACCACAAACCATTTATACATTGTCATGTTCTGTCATTGTTCTCGTTGTTGTCGCTGTTAACTCAAAGTTGTTTGTTTGTAGTGTTGATTTGTTTCTGGCAGATGGTATAAATTATCATGTGAATCTTGTTTCCACCGGTTACCACAAAGCATCTATACATGTACTATCTGTTATTGTACCGATGTTTATACAGACACCGCAATATCTCTTGGAGAACGAAAAGTAAGTAAAATTGAGATCTTTCATTTATGACGTTTTACCACATAACTCGCCGAAGTCAACTTACGTTACCTTTTACAAAATGAAACCCTCATCTTATCCTGTTATGAAGTGAATAGATAACTTCAACACTTATGTTTCTGTGTTACTGTACATAATTGTATTCTTTTAAGAGTCCAGTAGAAAATCCACAAGAACTTCATCTACAAGTAACTTTACCTAGTTGCAACATCATACTGGTTTATTGGCTTGACGTAGGTCATGCAAAGTCAATGTGCAATGATTAATATTAACAATTTAACATTAAGGTAGAGATACAGTTTAAATATATGAATCATGCTTTTCATACTCCACAGTTGTCATAGTAAACGGAATTAAGGAAGAGATACAGTTTACTTGACAGGTATTTTAATTAGTTAATTAGGAAACCAAGATGACCTCCTTTGTCCACAAAACTATATATTTTCGGAAAGCTTATTGTATATTTTTTTAAATTTGGTAAGTATTTTTTTTTATGGACACTGTAGTTTGAAATATGCACAAAAATGGTTTTTTTTTTGTCAAAAGTGATTTAAAAAAAAATTAGCTTCTAAACCATGCCTCTGTTTTCTTTCAAAATTGGTTTACGGGTACATCTGTTTACTATGAAGAAAGTCATCTTGAAAACTGTTTACCAGTTGTCAATTTTGCAGGGCAGCAGCTCAAATTTCACTACTTCAAGTTTATGCATAAATTAGCACCCAGGCTAGTTGTCTGTACGATTGTTGTAACACTGTTCAACCAAAAACAATGCCCCGACGGCGTTTTGAAGATAAACACATTGTCAATCATTTGTGAAAATTTCAAAACAAAAGGTCAAAGCATCTAGAAGTTTTTGTTTTTTTAAAGTTCTGGGATGTGCACTAAAAAGAAGCTGAGATAATTGCTAATTTGCGTATTTTATAGTTAAGAAAAAATATATGTTGATTTACATTGCCATTGGATTTAACAGAGTTGCACTAATGATATTAATTTCAATGTTTCACAGAATACAGATGTTCATACAATGCCATAAAAAATTTAAAAAAGTGAAATTTGTCCAAATTTGCAAAATAAACTGCATCTCTACAAATATAGGTGATTACTATTAAACTAATTATTTTTAACTTGTATATATGGTTAATCTGTATGCATAGATTACCTTACCCAGTCTATACTACCCTTTATATTGCATCTTCCAATCTTATGCTGTGATCTGCCCCATATATCTTATGATATCTCCAACCTATGCTATGAATTAACCCACCCTCACATATACAGGGCAAGCCATGTGTAGTCTAACCACTGTTTTCTTTTTGCACTGGTAGATTTGAACGGATCATACAGTGTATTGTTCATGCTGACAGATCAGTGTATGGTTTCACCGGTAAGCTCATTATGCAACAAGTATTTCCTGGCGACATCACAAAAATGTTCTGTTCGATGATTATGGTAAGTGAAATGGAACCAGAAATATTTTAAATTGTTTTTTTAGCTCCACTGTCAGCTTTGTTGTGCAGAGCTTATCTTACGAGTGATTGTTCATTGTCCATCTCAACTTTTTATTTTTTCGACTTCTTCTTGAAAACTACAATTGTTATTGCTTTGATACTTGGTGTATATGTACCGTGGGTAGACCTCTCTTAGATTTGTTCATTTGGTAATGATATCTTCAATTCTCAAATTTTTTTGTAATTTTTGGTAAAAAATGATTTTTTGTAATTCTTGTTGAAAACAGCAAGTCTGATTGTTTTGATCCTATACATATTGTTCATTTTCTAATGATGTCTTCAGTTCTTTAATTGAAATGTGCGTTGCTAACAGCGGAGCTATCTCAGGTGAGAGGCTGCTTGTTAAGTTATTGTTTTAACCATATATGGTTATGTTTTAAGTTATACATGTAGTTTCAACCATATATGGTAATGTTATTAGTTATCGCTATAGCCATATATTATGTGGTCATTAATATTGCCATATATGGTCATGTGATAGACTGGTTCCGGATATACAGTCAGTTCAAGTTTTCTCTTTCATTTGTAATTATTGGGTTTGCAACATCTGTAAAAACAAAACCAACAAATCAGTAACAACATTTCTTGTTTTCCTCACAGCACCAACTTCAGTGTGCCGGTACACCGGGTGGTATAAGTCGAAATGATGTCTTAGAATTCTGGTTTCGTGCGTTGGCGTCTGTGGAGTACTGGACACAAGACAGAGATGTACAGTATTTGTTGGATTGCTTGACGAGAGCGGCTTTCATGTACAAAGGATCTGAAAACTTAATACTAGAGATTCTGTTCTCAATGTACAAGGTGATAATCTATTTACCACCAGAATTTCACCCCAAACTTTTCTGCAATTTTCTTTTATATTCTTCAATATTTCTAGAACCCTAATTTTTGTGCCAACAGACAAAATTTGAGTCAATTTTCAGTTATAATTCAAACAATTTTGCTAATTTTGTCCCAATCTGAAGGAGAGTGTAAAACTATAAATGGGACTATTTTTTGAATTTGTAATGAAACTGGAGTACTAGAGGTGAAAAGGTTGAAAAAAATAATTTCATGTGAAACAGGCTTTGTTTTTCCCAATTATCTCCTGCAACACTACATGTATGTACCGGGAACTGGCTGAAACCAGTTCAGATTACACACTACTCTGAATCTATAAAAGGAATACATTTGTCTAAATATGGTCAAAAAGTGCCGGGTGATATAGAAAATTATTGCACGGCTCAAACATTGAGTTTCTCATAGCATTACAAGGCCTGGCGATAAAAGGTTCATGATATTATTCTTTATGGACTGGATTTTGCGGCCCGAAGTTGCGAGTGTGCGTGAACTGTACGACCGAGGCCAGCAAAAGCTGTATCCAGACCATGAAGAATTTATCAAACACCTTATAGTTGTATGAACAGCTTGACTTCAAACACACAACGTAATTTAGAATGACGCATATTATTTTGATTTGATTTTGGCTGGGCCGGGCGTAATACGCGAAATTATTGCTGTGATGTGAGGGCACTCTTCTCATAGCGTTACAAGGCCTGGCAATACAAGGTTCATGATAATATTTTTTATGGACTGGATTTTGCGTGCTGAGGTTGTGAGTGTATGTAAGCTATACGACCGAGGTATCCAGGCCATAAAGATTTTATCATACACCTTACAGATGTTTGAACATTGTGACTTCAAACGTAATTTACAATGACGCATTTTATTTTGATTTGATTTTGGCTGGGTCGGGTGTAATTCTCAGGGGCGGACATCCAAGCATTTGTCATCGCATGGTAACCATCACGGTGAAAACAAGTTGAAAACTCTCTGAAAACGGTACTTTAGGATGGTTGTTGAGACTCCCCTGAACAGTGTAACAAGATTACCCCTGCGTGTGTAACGCATATATAAATTTGATTGTTCAGGATTACTTCAAAGTTGAGTTCCTGTTGTTTTCTGAATTTTCACCGGCTCTTTGTTCGGCGTTCCGTGTTCCTCAGCAGCACGCACAGAGCCCATAGATGGTACAGTGGTGCGCATCTTAGCAACGTAGAACGTCCGTGACGTAGCTCCGCCCCTGAGGCTACGAGAAATCATTGTTCTAGCATAATAAATCATGTGTGTTTTTTTTGCAGTCTTTACTTGGCGCTAACAAAGAGCAGAGTGTGTTGTCATCTTTAGTGTCTTGGATAAGCAGCAGTATGCCTTCGTTGATGGAAAAACCAAGTCAGGAATTCTCCTGGTTAGCGTACGCTGTGCTGTCAATTGAGTCGAGGTACGAGGAGGATTCGCAAATGAGAAACGTGGTATATCAGTTATTAAGTAGAGACAGCAAACTAACACCGGATGCTGCTTTGAAGGTAAGAAAAGGGAAAAGTCAGCGTTACTTTGTTGGTTATGATTGGCGGATGTACAATGGTGGTGCACACATCTCATGGCTGTAAGTGTCATAGTCGATATGACGTGTCTTGTAAGACATGGGTTCCGTACAATGTGTACAGTACAGTCTGAGAATAACTTAACATTTAGCTAGCTGGCTTAAAACTATCTTAGCTTGCTTTCAAAACTGTCACATATATAAATTGTGCAGCATAATCTACCTAAATATTTCTGATCTAAGTAACATAGCTAAATACTACAAAGAATATGTTGAAATTATTGATGAAAATGATACTCACTTTAAAAACTATAATTTTTCATGAGACGACAAAGCCAGCGGATAGCGTTAAAACACACCCAGACTGTAATGTATAAAATTCATGTGAAACACATGTTACTCAGCATGCGCACCACAAAAACAAAAATGTGGTTAGCTTTTGTGATTTTCAATTGTTCAATCTACACAGCGCCCTCTGTTGACAAATTGATTAAACCTCTAAAATTTATGCAACATTAAGGTAGAAGCCTAGTCATAATTTCTGACAAAATTGGTCATAAATCACATGACAATGTTTATTATTTATTAGCTAATGTTCCATGGTACAATTAAATAGCATTATTTTGTGTGTTTTACAGTTCCGGTTTTTTTAGAAACGTGTCCTAATATTTCTTGAAAATTGCTATTTTTAGAACAATTCCATAGAACACAATGCTAAAGAAAAATTGCATTTGCACTTTTTAAAACCCAGATTTTTTAAATAATTCAGAACAACAAAAAGTACTTCACCATTAACAATATATGATTTTTTCAGCCTATGTCACCAGGTTAGATTTTGAGATATTGCATAATATCTCTGCCATAGGAACCTGTGGTAAAAGTGTTATAAACGTGTCAAAATGGCGACTTTCCACTAAAATACAACCATCAATTTCTCGAAAAAAAGGCTGGTGACCCCAACTTCTTTTAAGTCAATATCCTTATATTGCCTTGGAGTACAATTTATTGCAAAATAAATAAATTCTGGTTTTTTTAATTTCTGAGTAGGCTTCTACGTTAAATATTTTATCCAAAAACAAGCATCATTATTGAAACAAAACAAAAGTTGACCAGTACATTTTTTGTTTTCAGAGGGATGCCCTTTTTACAGACTGCTTTTAATATTTTTTTGTTTACATTTATAGAAAGCTTGTTCTAAGTTGAAGCTTCCATACAGTCCAGTAGCTGGTAGACTATCTGTATATAGGTGGGCGTATCAAGCTTTAGAAACTGACATGGACCATCCATTACTACCAGCGATATGGCAACAGTTCTTTATGGTGTACTTACAAAGAATTGTGTCTGAACCAGGGTAAAGTACTTTGACCTAGTAACCAGCATGCACATTGTCATAGCAACACATCTGTGCCTACGTGTAGCAACACACCTGTAATACTTGTTTTGAATCAAGTGGTAACATTTAATGTAGCCTGTCAACTACCAAACCCCCTAACTCATCTATTAATTTTATGCAGCCTAGCAACTACCAAACCCCCTAACTCATCTATTTATATTATGCAGCCTAGCAACTACCAAACCCCCTAACTCATCTTTTGATTTTATGCAGCCTAGCAACTACCAAACCCCCTAACTCATCTTTTGATTTTATGCAGCCTAGCAACTACCAAACCCCCTAACTCATCTATTGATTTTATATAGCCTAGCAACTACCAAACCTCCTAACTCATCTATTTATATTATGCAGCCTAGCAACTACCAAACCCCCTAACTCATCTCTTGATTTTATATAGCCTAGCAACTACCAAACCCCCTAACTCGTCTATTGATTTTATGCAGCCTAGCAACTACCAAACCCCCTAACTCATCTTTTGATTTTATGCAGCCTAGCAACTACCAAACCTCCTAACTCATCTATTTATATTATGCAGCCTAGCAACTACCAAACCCTCTAACTCATCTTTTGATTTTATGCAGCCTAGCAACTACCAAACCCCCTAACTCATCTATTGATTTTATATAGCTGAGCCACTGCCAAACCCCCTAACTTATCTCTTGATTTTATGCAGCCTAGCAACTACCAAACTCCCTAACTCATCTATTGATTATATGTAGCCTAGCAACTACCAAACCCCCTAACTCATCTATTGAGTTTATCCAGCCTAGCAACTACCAAACTCCCTAACTCATCTATTGATTCTATGTAGCTGAGCCACTGCCAAACCCCCTAACTCATCTATTGATTTTATATAGCCTAGTTTTATTTTTTTATTTCAGTTTACCACAAAGAGGAAGCATCGGGTTAAGGTTCTTTGAGAGTTTAGCAAACTCTACACTCTTGAAGAGATGCAAGAAGCGACTAGTTTGCACAGCTGATTATCACCACAATGCAAGTAAAAAGGCTGGTTCTTCCTCCCATCATGCATCTACACCAGATTCTGATTCAGATACCAACTCCCAGCATGCATCTGATGGAGGTTCCACGAATGGGAGAGAGACACCTCCATTGGAGCAGTTGAAATACCAGACATCTGTTGAATACCATCAATGCTTAGTTAAGTAAGTAAGATGTGTCTCGCTGAGATCGCAA